TCATTCCTCCCTCTCTTCAACTAAATTCCCGATTTCAGCTCAGTATATTAATAGATCATTTTTCTGCTGCCACATATCTGATAAAAGTTTTGCAGAATCCACTTACAAAATTTACAATGTGAAACAGTCCTTCCTTTCAAGAGCATTTACTAAACATCCAATAACAAAGTTGGAAGGCCTCAGAGAAAGGGAGTGTGAGCGGTAGGACACACAGCTGCACAGCAGCACAGAAATGTGCAGTTCTCAGGAAAGGAGTCCTGTCAGCCCTGAAGCTGGAGCCTTCCAGAATGGAAGAGAAACAAACACAACAGCTTCAGAACTAGCGGTGGCATGCTACAGTCACAGCAGGCCCTTCAGTCACATGCTTGTTAAGGGGCAGCCCTGCATGGTGTCACTTTGAAAGAAGGGACCACCTGAAGTCAAAGTAGCATGGGAACATGCAGTGCCTGTCCTTCTGTGGTGGTTGATGTAGTCTCTGGTGTTGGGAGTTCAATAAATTGTGCTTTGCTTGTACTTGAGAAGGAAATGTCGACCCATGACATCACTGTATCTCTATAAATGCTCACAACAGATTCTTCTGAATGCATATATCTCTGGAAATGACACTGAAAATATGTGTTTTCTCTAATTTATCAGTTAAACGAGATAGGGTATTTTAGTTACCTGTTTCATATCTATAAAGTTTATACACTATAGTGCATTGTCTATATAATTATGTAATGCATGATAAATTGTAGCCTATAACATTATGCTTTATAATTTTAACTTCCCCATAGATATTCTAAGAACTTAACAATTCACTTTATGTTTTAAGATTGAGCACACAGACAACCGTCAAGGTATTCTATCCTAAAAAACAGTCAAAATAGTTTTTTTATACAAATATTTAAAAATTATAACAACTGCAGGTTAGATCAGTAATGTAGGCTATGGATTGTTAAGATTTTATATGTATTTGCTTTGTGTTTCAATAGAGTAAAAAAGCCATAAAGAATATTCTTCAAAAATGCACCTACCTCCCAGCCCTGGAGCCATTTCTGTATGACGCGCCTCCCAATATCCTGAAACACGTTGTTGGGCAGTTTAGTAAGGTAAGAAATGTACCTGCAAGGAAGGGAAGAAAAGGAGGTTCATCTGCCAACTTGCTGCTCTGCTGTTCTCTTCTGTGAGGTGGGGTATGGGTTTCACTATTTAATCCTCAGTTCCTACCAATACGTATTTACACAGTGCTGTGTGTACCACTGTGTGCGACCTGTCATTCTAAGTTTTAAAGTAGAGTTAGGTATTCATCTGGATGGCAGGTTGCTAACAGCTTTCAGTTCTCTGCCCAGCTGACCTTTAAGTATCATTGTTACTGGGAACAAGGCTTCCCAGAGACGAAGCCACCTCTGAGTAAGGTTTGGTGCAACAGACATCTGTGCTGTCTCCCCCTTTAAAGAAAACAACAAAATGTCCTTTTCCTCTTGGTTATATGACAATCCAACTAACCACATAATACAGATAAAATGCTACACTTTTACATGGAGAAAGCTGATCTATTTTTTACTTTCATGTCTTTTGGGTGCTAAATAAGAACTACTGACTAATTTAGTCATCTGAGAATGAGCAGTAAGGGATGAGTGGGTCACCCATAGACACCAGCTCTGGAACAGGACTCCTTAGAGTTTAATCATTAGGCCAGTGAGAAAGATATGTTGATCTTACTGAACTACCAGAAAAATGAACACTAACTTCCTATGTTGAAGGTTCATAATAAGCAAATAAAAATCATTTGTGTGTGTGTGTGTGTGTGTGTGTGTGTGTGTGTGTGGGTGAGAGAGAGAGAGAGAGAGAGAGAGAGAGAGAGAGAGAGAGAGAGAGAGAGAGAGAGAGAGAGAGAACAATATAAAGTTGGATGGGCAGGGAGGTGGGGGAGGACCTGGCAAGAGGAAGGGAGAGGGAACATGATCAAAATATATAAAAATTAAATAGAAAAGAGAAAAGTCAGTAGAATATGTGGAAGTTAGACAATGAAAGTCAAGTGAACTGAAGATGCTTTTAAAATCTCTTATAAATGTATCTTTGGGAATGTTTGCTGCCAGATCTTCTCTGTGTCCCTTTTCTTCCTTCCCTTCCTCCCTCCCCTCCTCCTCCCCTCCCCCTTAGGCTGCGGAGCAAACCTAGGGACTTGCTCTGCCACTGGACTCTCTCTCTCTCTTAGATCTTGATTTTTTTTTTTTGTTTGAGAGTCACTGTTTAGCCTCAGTTGGCCTCTATTCCCAGTCATCCCAGCTCATGCTCCTCTGGTCTGTGTGTTGAGAGTACATGTGTATACTGCACCCAGCTAATATGTTCTTAAAAGTCAATGCTGCAAACAGTGATAAGGAGTTGATCAGGCAAATGGGGAGAACTCAGTGTAGTGGGAAGGTATTCTAGAGAGAGGGAAGGGCACAGGTACAGGCAAGCAACACAGCAGCATCCATGCTCTGAGCCACAGCAACAGCTGCAGTTGAAGACTGGCTGGCCAGGACCTTGGACAAGTATTAGGAAATGGGTAGGAGGGACCCTTCCCGCCTTTTCCAGGGGCCTATCCTATAGCGGTGAAAAAACTTTGGAGTGTAAGCTTCATGTATGAGTGGATAACATTAGCTTTGCTCATGTTCATTGCCTTAGTCCATCCTTACAACGTTAAAAAGTTGATGTACTTTTCGGAGTGTATTTTCCTTCCGATTACCAGCAGATCTGGATTACTCTGTTATAGATACATTGAGAATGAATTCTGCACTAAGTTATTTTCAGGAGTAAAATTCTAGCTCGGGAAGGAAGAGATGATATTTTGTGCATTCTCCCTTCAAGGTGCTGCCGCATGACAGCAAAGCCCGGCGGCTTTTTGTAACTAGCGGAGGACTTAAAAAGGTCCAAGAAATAAAAGCGGAGCCCGGCTCTCTCCTGCAGGAATACATCAACAGCATTAATAACTGCTACCCCGAGGAAATAGTACGGTGAGGAGATGGACCGGGAGGAGATGGACCGGGAGGTTCAATATTGCAATGTTTTCACTTTTCAAATGCAGTCTTTATATCGAGTGTGTAAGCATGTGGACTTTGAAATTTTACACAAGGCTCTTTTACCTCATGCAAGTTAAATAGTTAGAATATGTTCTTATTGATAAGTCCAATCAATCTGGATTGCTGTTTATATCATGTCTATACTATTTTAATATATACTTTACTAAATACCCAAAAGCAGAGTTAAATTAAATTGCTTTGAAATTGTGAATATCTGTTATTCCCCAGGCATTGCATTTCTTATGTTTATACCTACATTAATGGAAGTATAAAAATTAGAAAAGCCATGTTGAATAACAAAAAGAAAGTTACTAATGAAGTATAAAGAAATAGCCAGGGTTGACTTGAATACCTTCAATTCAGTAACTGAACCCAAGGCCTCATGCTTGCCAGGAAAGACAACTCCTGAGCTCTACCTGCAGCTCTGATGAATATTTTAAAAAAATGAAGTTATTTGCAGAGCAATAATCCTAAGACTCAGACACTAGTTGGCTCTTAAATAAAAGTAAAATTGCCAAGGAAAAATAGAGTAAACAATGGAGTCTTGACAAATGTGCATATTTTCTAGATCATTATTAGAAAATACAAATTCCATATTTAAAAACTTAATTGTTATATATAAGTTATAGCTGTTATCTTTCTATTTAGTAATTACCATTTTCCGTTTTTAAGATATGAAGTAACCTTGATTTTAAAAGCATAAAAGCTTTAAAATTAGAATTTATTTTTACTCATAAGTATTCAGACAATAAACTCTAAAGTTAGAAGTTTATGTTCTAACTGTATGTGTATCAGTGTTTTGCCTGCATTTGTGTAAGCATACCACCTGTGTGCCTAGTGTCCACAGAGGCCAGAAGAGGGAGTGAGATCCCTTAGAACTGGGTTTGCGAGCCACAATGTTGTGGAAAATGAACCTGAGTCCTCTGTAAAAGCACCAAGTGATCTTAACTACTGAGCCATGTAGGGATTCTATGCTTCTTTAATTCCATACTTCTTTATAATCAGGAGATAGTTTTCAATTCATTAGCATCAGGATACACTAGGAAGAATGGGGGATTTCTGGAGGTTAGTAGACACGTGATATATTCATTTATGAGTCATATTTTGAGATTCATATGTGGTTTGTATGAACTTACAGGGAGCAGAGAATGCTAAATGTGGCTCTGCTGATGAGGGTTAGTGATTACATCTGAACGTATTTCCTTCTTGGGGAATCCTGGTTAAGATCTCCTGGGTAAACTGGGAGGTGGGGTGGAAAGGAGGAGATGTGGAGGATCAGGAAGAACCAGTTGGGGGATGGACAAAGGGGGAGACCAAGGAAAGAGATATCTTGATAGAGGGAGCCATTATGAGGTTTGTGAGAAAACTGGTGCTAAAGAAATTCCAAGGAATCCTTAAGGATGACCCCTGCTAAGACTCCTAGCAATAATGGAGAGGGTGTCTGAATGGGCCTTCCCCTTTAAATCAGATTGATGACTGCTCTAATTGTCATAATAGAACCTACATCCAGTAACTGATGGGAGCAGATGTATTGACCCACAGCCAAACTCTGGGCAGAGCTCTTGGAGTTCAGTTGGAGAGAAGGATGAGGGATCATATGAATATAAGGGGTGGTGGTGTCAAGAGCATGCTGGAGAAAAACACAGAGACATGTTACGATAAATCTTTCTGCCACCCGCTTGAGTTCTGCCCGTCATGTGGATGAACAAAATAATACACAGAGACTTATAATATGTACAGATGCTGCTTGGCCAATGACTAGGATTTCTCATATGCTAGCTCAGTCTTAATTATCATAAATCTATAAGACTTATCTTATCGGACGCCTTCCGCTGGCATCCTCATCCCCGGGATCACATGGTGGCTCAGAGCAGAGAGCAGGACGAAGAGCAAAGGGGAAAGGGGCCACTTTCAGCTTGTCCTTGCTTAAATATGAGTCTCCCTGCTATGTCACTTCCTGCCTGGATCACCACCTCTTCACTACATTTCCCAGAATCCTCCTTTACTCCTAGTCCCATCTAACTTGCTGCCTCATTGGCCAAACAGTACTTTATTTAACAATCAATAAGATGAACATACACAGAAGCACATTCCCCATCAGAGACAGCTGACTGGAGCTAGTGGGAGCTCATGGACTATGGACTGACAGCTGGAAACCTGCACGGGACTGAACTAGACCCTCTGAATGTGGGTGACAGTTATGTGACTTGATCTGTTGGAGGGGGGTCCCTGGAAGTGGCACTAGGACCTATCCCAGGGGCATGAATTGGCTTTTTTTGGAACCCACTCTCTATGGCTAGATACCTAGCTCAGCCTTGATACCGGGTGGTAGGGGCTTGGTCCTGCCTCAATTTGGTATGCCAGACTTTGTTGACTCCCCAGGAGAAGGCCTTACCCAGTGGATGGGGGATGGGAAGAAGGTAGGTGAGGGGAACGGGAGAAGGGGAGGAAAGGGGAAGTGGAGTTGGTATGTAAAATGAAAAATATTTTTTTAAAATAAAAAATTTAGAAAGGATAGCTTTAGATATGTGTATATGTTCAGTTTAAACCTGACTGTGTTATTGAAAAAGAAGTTATTGAATAAAATACAGCTGTTGATTTTTCACATCTTAATTCAACAAATTAAGGAGGAAATTAGTATAATATAATTCATAAATTTTTAAGTAGATAAAGTTAGTGTAACCCTTCATATGGGATGGGCTCTCAAAGTCCCTTCTTGCACCAGGGAAAAATACTAATCCACTACCAGAGGCTCCCTGGAGTGCAGAGGCCTCCTTATTGACATCTATGTTCTGGGGTCTGGATCAGTCTTGTACAGGCCTCCTGGACAGCATCTGGGGTCGATGTGCTCTCCCTTGTTCAGGCCAACAGTTCCTGTGGGTTTCTCCATCCTAGTACAGACCCCTTCGTTCTTCATTCCTCCCTCTCTTCAACTAAATTCCCGATTTCGGCTCATTGTATATCTGTGGATGTCTGTCTCTGTTTCCATCAGCCACTGGGTGAGGGCTCTAGGATGGCATAAAGAGAAGTCATCAATCTCATTTTAGGGGGAGGGTTTTTAGGTTATCCTCTCCACCATTGCCTGGATTGTCAGATCGTGTCATCCTTGTAGGTCTCTGGAGATCTCCCTGGTTCCTGATCCCTTCTCGGGCCTACAGTGGCTCCCTCTGGTATCGTTTCTCTCATCTTGCTCTCTTTCCTCTATTCTTCCCCCCACTCAATGTTTCTGCCCCTCCATTTCCTCTCCTCTTCTCCTCTTCTCTTGCTCTTATTGTAGCAGCTCCTTCCCCCCCCCACCCTCCTGCCCCCAATTAGTTCGGGAGTTCATGCCATTTCCATTCCTGGGGACCATTTAACCCTTAGAGTCCTTCATGTTTCCTAGTTTCTTTGGTGAAGAGCATTATATACTGGTAGTCTTTTGTTCTATGTCTAAAATTCATATATCAGTGAGTACATACCTTGCTTGTCTTTTTGTGACTGGGTTACCTCACTCAGGATGGTTTCCTCTAGTTCCATCCATTTGCCTGCGAATTTCAAGATTCCATTGCTTTTTTCTGCTGAGTAGTACTCCATTGTATAAATGTACCACATTTTCTCAATCCATTCTTCAATAGAGGGGCATCTAGGTTGTTTCCAGGTTCTGGCTATTACAAACAATGCTGCTATGAACATGGTTGAACATTTGTCCTTGTTGTAAGTACATGCCCTATTTGGGTATATACCCAAGAGAGGAATGGCTGGATCTTGAGGTACACTGATTCCCATTTTTCTGAGCAACCGCCATACTGATTTCCAGAGTGGTCTTACAAGATCGCACTCCCACCAGCAATGGAGGAGTGTTCCTTTTTCTCCACATCCTCTCCAGCATAGATTGTCATTGGTGTTTTTTATTTTAGCCATTCTGACAGGCGTGAGATGGTATCTCAGAGTTGTTTTGAGTTGCATTTCTCTGATGGCCAATGATTTTGAGCACTTTTTTAAGTGTCTTTCAGCCATTTCAGATTCCTCTGTTGAGAATTCCCTATTTAGTTCTGCACCCCACTTTTTAATTTCGTTGTTTGGTGTTTTGGTGGCTAGCTTCTTGAGCTCCTTATATATTTTGGAAATCAGTCCTCTGTCAGATGTGGGATCGGTGAAGATCTTTTCCCATTCTGTGGGTGGTCGTTTTATCCTACTGACTGTTTCCTTTGCCTTGCAGAAGCTTCTCAGTTTCAGGAGGTCCCTTATTAATTGCAGACCTCAATGTCTGTGCTTCTGGCGTAATGTTCAGGAAGTGGTCTCCTGTGGCACTAGATTTTATCTAGAAAAAACTTTTGAAAATTTAATTATTTTGGATGACTATTTAGAAAATTTTTAAATTACAATTTTCAGATTTTAAAACTCTATTTTATATTAGAATACCTGGCATATTATTTGATAATGGTTTTATGTTTATTGACATGGTATATCAAATGATCCTGCAGTATATTTTTAATATTTGATACTAATCTTTTATGAAATGTTCAATTTAAAAATATACATTCACATTAATATATATATATATATATTTATATATATGTATCTATATATGGATATATATGTATGCATATAGATGCATACCCAAGAACCAATGAAGGCAGTCCATATTCTAGTTTGTATTATAATAATTTTGTAAGTAATTTATTGAATAGTCATTCAATGTGAATTATTACCAGATATAATTGCAATATATATTAAAATGATTTATAAGGTATCTGGAATGCAGAAGTTGACTAGTAATGATAAGTTATATAGTCTAACATGAAAAAACCTATTAGCTATGGTCCTTTTAAAGTAATATTATGGAGCTGGAGAGATGGCTTAGCAGTTGAGAGTACCGGTTGCTCTTCAGGAGGATCCGGGTTCAGTTTTAAACACCTATATGGTGGCTCACAACCATTTGTCATTCTAGTGCCAGGAGATCTGAAGCCCTCTTCAGGCCTCTGAGACCACAAGATATGAAAGTGGTATGCATACACACATACAGGTAGAACACACACACACACACACACACACACACACACACACACACACACACACACACAGTCAAGAGAAAGTAGTAACATCACTCACTTGATAAAAACCGTGTCTGAAATGAAAGTTTGCCCGCGGATTGAAGGTTTTGCTAGGCAGTTGTCATTATATATTTCTCAGGTGTCCCATTCCTTCTCAAGTACAGCATTGTAAGTTGGCATTCTTCATAGTCTCTAACCATATGCATAAAGCATTATTAGGAGAATATAATTATTAAGAATGTATGAGGTTTCATTTATATTATTTCAGTAAGTTCTTATGTAGAATCTTTTGGGTCCACCTTGGGGTCCACTTTTCCCTCTCTAATAGAAGGTGTATTTTTCAGGTATTACTCCCCTGGATACTCGGACACACTTCTGCAGAGGGTGGACAGCTACCAGCCACTTGCCAACTGAACAAAGCATATTTTATACTCCGCAGTTTCCCAGGAGAGTATGAATAATGACCGTTAAAGTTCTTTGAAAGTACATTCTAGCTTTATTCAAAGTGAGATACCTTTAGATAATGTTCTCTAAATGTATGTAATAGTTTAAGAGTTAGTTGCTGGACTATATGAAGGACTAGTCATAGACATTTGCATGCATAGGAATTTTTCTAAAGATAGACTTAAAAAGACATTAAAAGGTTTAAAACGTTTGTCATTGTTTTGCTGAAAACCACATACAAACAGCACAAACACACCCTCTAACAAGCTGAGAAAGCTGTTCAGCAAGGCTTAGGTCATTTTGGCCATTTTCTCATACACCTCTCAAGTTACACAGAAGCATCCAGAAGGAAAAGAGCGGAAAGATGAACCTGATGACAGGGGCAAATAACCTTGAAGAGGCTCTGATGCTGGTCACACAACTCACTGGACTAATACAGAAGCTGGATAGCTTGTTGGGTTTCCTAAGAACTTAGACGTGGTCTCCTCATTCCCACTGGGTTTGCAGCTCTTTTCCTCCTGGAGTTCCTCACTGAAGGGTTCCCAGCATCACAGCTGGTATCTGTGCTCTCTGTTCCTCTTGAGAAGTTTCTTATTCATGATCCATACTCAAGGACAAAACATGTATCCATGCTACTTTAGATGACTGTTTGGGTTTCTCACACAGCATTCATTTCTGGATATCTGACCATCTGGGCATTAGTCAGTCAGTGCTTCCTCTTAATTCACTAATATCAATACTATGTGTGACATTTGGACTGTTAATTCTTATCCCCAAATCAGCCTCTTACTCTAAAGGGACTGTGGTCATGCATACCCATAGGCAACAGGGTGACCAGCCTTGGGCAATGAAGTCAAGTTTGTAGAAGAGGATTGTCATTGGATCAGAACTCAAATGCCACTATACTTATGCATATACAAGAAGGACTTAGACGTGTGTGGGAGTCTCAGGCCAGGTATATGGATGTGGATCTTCATGATTTCAAAGGCCCTTTGTATTTGTTTCCGTAATAAAGTTCTCTTGCTTCCTCATTTGTGGACTCATACAGGGGTTCCATAGAAATCAGATATCTAGAGGCTCTAAGGGATTCCAGAGCCTGATGTTGGGTTGACAGATACGGGATTGAGCAGGCAGCCTGTTTTCTCTCTGTGCCAGGTTGGTGGTATCCTTGGGATGGGTGACGCCTTGGTGTTTGACTTTCTTGGTAGATTCGGGCCTTTTTTCTTGAAACCTACTATAAGAGTGAGGAGCAGTCATGTTTTTCCATGGAATCCTCCTGTGTCTATCCATGCTGCAGCAGATCACCATGTTGGTCCACTCAATTGAAGGCTTTTAAACCAAAGACTAGTGCAATGTGAAAATGTTGGAAAAAATTTGTATCCTCAAGGCATTCTGGTCCAGTTCAGTTGGCCCTTGTCAACATTTTCAGAATGTTCCCTCTGGAAAGCAAAGATTGGTGGACTATGAAGGACATAGTGAGTACAGTAAACGGCACCCTTAGGTCCAGATGTGTGAAGAAGGAAGCTTCAGTAAGAAAGAGACCTAGGAGAGAGGAGGGGTTAGGGACAACTGGTGTAGGGCAATGGTGGCCTGGCTTACTAATTAATTATACATCCTGAATTGGCTGATAGCCTTCTGTTCTTGGCTTCTGGACTGACAGAAGAAGTTCTTGGACAACTGGCCTGGTTGGAAGAGTCCGTAATTCAGAAGTTGTACCAAGTGCTCTAGCCCCCCAATTGTGCTTTACAAAGGATAAAATGCTGTTTTTTTTAATGAATTGCCTATTCCCTGGCTTTAGATCTATTGCTATTGGGCTTATGGTCTGGGCCAGCCTGGGAGGATTGTCTTGAGATCATACTCTGTCATTCTTGAAAGGAATGTGGGTCCTCTGTGAGACTGTAGAAGTACCACACTTCTCCTTGTGAAGACCATGAGAGCCATGATTTTTGCTTCTGGCTTCCCTAGTGTCAGGGGTTCCTGGCCATGGGAGTTGACAGTTACCTGGGCTTGCAGCTTTCCTAATCACTCTTGACTCATTAAAGCCACAGTATAGCTGGGGAGGTTTAGGGGTTTAATCAATGTATGGTGGCCTAAATTAACCTAAATTACCTTTGGCTTGTTTCTGTGGGTGAGGACCCATGGGTTGAATTACTAAAGAATGTTTTGCTCCAGGACTACCATGCAGTCAATGGTCTTGCTCCGTATGTCACTTGGAAAAAAGGTTCCTGGGGGCCTAACAAATGGAACTATGTCTGTCCTAGTCTTATTCATAGTTTCCCACGGCAGTCAGACTAATAGAGTCATCTTTAGAGGTCTCATATTGTTGTTGAACTGGTTGCCATTGTCTTTGAAGCACCCAGTCTCTTCCTTACCATGAGAAGCTGGTTAAGAAGTGGGAACACTCATTCTTCCAGGAGTCTTTTTGGCACCAGTGAGCACATTGGCTCCATCGCAGTTTTGTCTCTGGATAAGGTTGGCTTTCTTGTCTGTTGATTCCTTCTCTGGCTCTTGCTTCAGCCCACTAGGGTGCTTTTCTGGGAGGGTTTCCACCATCCCACCAAGATAGCAGCAAACCACATTGGCTCCATCGCAGTTTTGTCTCTGGATAAGGTTGGCTTTCTTGTTTGTTGATTCCTTCTCTGGCTTTTGCTTCAGCCAACTAGGGTGCTTTTCTGGGAGGGTTTCCACCATCCCACCAAGACAGCAGCAAACAGATCCACTTCTTCATTGATCAGTCTGCCTCTTGGCAGGCCTCTCGTTTTCAGTTGATGAATACTTTCAGATCCACTTCTTTATTGATCAGTCTGCCTCTCACCAGGCCTCTTGTTTTCAGTTGATGAATACCTCCATTGCAGCCTCTCATAGTTGACTGACATTCCTTCTAGCAAAACCCTCTAATTTCTGAAGTTCATATTGGATGTCTACTTGAGCATGACTTACAAAGGCTGCAATAATCATTTGCTATTCTTGACTTCTTCTGGGTTAAACAAAGTATGAGGGTGAAATGCTTCACACAACATTCCTTCTAGCAAAACCCTCTAATTTCTGAAGTTCATATTGGATGTCTCCTTGAGCATGACTTAAATAGGCTGCATTAATCATTTGATATTCTTGAATTCTTCTGGGTTAAACAAAGTATAAGAGTGAAATGCTTCACACAGCCTCTCAAAGATTTGACTTGGGCTTTCTTCAGGTCCCTGGAGAACCCCTTAGTGTTCATGGCCATCCCTTCTCCTTCCTTCATAACCATAAAAAACCCTCTTGGAGTAAAGGATTGACAGCCTACAATCCACATTGCCAGAGAAGCTAATAAACAAGGAGGACCCTAAGAGAGACATACATGGTCCCCTGGAGAAGGAGAAAGGGTCAAGATCCCCTGAGCAAATTGAGAGCATGGGAAGATGGGGGGGGGGCTATGAGAATGAGAAGGGAAGAAGAGGAAGGATGCAGGGGTCATGAGGGAGCAGAAAGTCTGAGTCAGGTGAAGAGTAGAAAAAGAATATGTGATAGGTAGGGTTTTAGTTGGGGGCGGTGGCGGGGGAAGGGCAGGAGGGAGAAGGGAACTGGGATGGTCATGTAAAACAATCTTGTTTCTAATTCAAACAAAAAACCCTCTTGGCGATAAAAAAAAAAGATAAACCAAGCAAAATAAAACAAATGATTAATAGAAACACCACTGAATGTGTTTGTGCATTAGCTAATTGCTGGGCATGGGGCCCAATATGTAATGGGATCCATATACCTAGTGGGGTTGATGTACCCAGTGAAACTCCACTGGAAAAACCAACTTTTTCTTTGTCAGCAGTTATTAACTGCAGAAGTTTTCTCAGCTAGGGGTGAGAGCTAATTCTGAATTTCTCTTCTTAGTGCTATGACCCTGTCTGCCTGCTACTAAAAATCTTACTCAGGTTTCAAAAAAAGGAACTACAAATAAGGGAAGGAACTAAAATCTGAGGGAAAAAGAAATTAACTCACACACAATTTATCTTCTGCATGGTCCTTTATTATTCTTCTGCTCTTACTTCTCTTTTTTTCTCTGTCCCATGTATACCCTTCCTCCATTCTTTGGGGTAAAGTTATATATACAATTTGAAACAGTGATTCTTTTTTGCGATACAATAAGAGTCTTGAATTTCTCTGGGATCAGCAAGGCAGATAAGATTTACATACCGAGCGATAAACTAAAACTGGTAGGAGAAACTTTTTGCACCACTTGCTTAGGGTTGTGTGTCAAAGAGTATGTCTAAGTTTAATTTGCACAAGAAACAAAACTTGGTGTTTTCTAGTGTTCTAGCCTCAGTGGTGGTGCAGGCCTTCAGAAAAGTTTAATTTTCCCCGACAATGAGCAAATGGGCTGGTTACATTTGTCATTATCTTCTCAGGGTAAAGAGGAGAGAGCAGTAAATATCTGAGCTAAAATCTTGGGATGAAGGAAAATGCAAGAAGTTTGAGGATCTTTTAGGGTTTGTTTAGTGAATTGCTTTTCTATCTGCTAGTGAGGCAAAACCAAGGCATGCTTATTTCTTTCTATCCATCTAGGCAACTTTGGGCATGTAATAATTCTATGTCCTTGGATATCTGGGAATGTGTTAGATGGGATAATTTTTCCTGGACCCTAAACACTGACAAAGCGTCTGTCAATAAGGATAATTGCAGTAAGGCAGATCTCTGCAATCACACAGGATTTGGGGACAAAGACCTTATAATGGGAAACAGGTCTCACACATAGCTAAGAAATGTAATCATTAAACTCCAACTGCATGGGAGGATTTGCTCCCAGTAAATGATGAGATAGTGATAAATGTGGGAAGTAAATCTCAAGTTGGTTGCAAACAGGAATAAGCTCCAAGAAGAATCTACAGCAAGAAACCGCCAATTGATTCATAAGACTATGAGGCCAAATACAACTTTTTTATTGTTTTAATCCATAAGAAGAATCATTAATTCTTCTCAGTTGTCTCATGATATGA